GAAAAGGCCCCCCCCCTGTCCTTTTCCGTCTCCTAAACGGCTTGAGGTATCGCCTGTCGCCACCAAACTTTCAGGACCCCTCCGGGCATCAATTTTACACATTGTGACCAAAAATTTTTCCAGAGGCTATGACAGGTTGGCCACAAATGACGTCAGAGTGACGTCATGTGCTGCCATCGAGAAGAGCTGTCAGGCCTACAGCTTTGAAGACACAGACAAATGATCAGACAAAAAAGGTGTAGAATTACCAGGGCTACAAAACTGCTATCTCGGATTTTTGAAATTTTTGAGTTTTGACCCCCAAAAATCAAAAAAGCAATTTTTCGGATATAGTTGCCAAACAATCCAAAAAGTTTTTGGAGTTTCGTAAAACCCGGAATATATGTGTTAGTACCTACCGTCTTCTATCTACATACAAAATTTCAGATCAATATCTTGTTTTTTGGCCAAGTTATAGCGAAAAAACTGTTCAAAAATGATGATGTCAAATTTTGAAACTCAATTTTTGGCAATTCTAGACCACGTAGAGCAAAACAAAGACCACCATTAGACTCCTAGTGATGATCTGCATCGAATGGATACCCATTTTATGCAAAAATATCAACTTTGAAATTTGAACTAATTTGATCTGACCTCTGTGACCTGACCTGGTATCAGTGACCTCAGATAGCGAAGTATATGTTTGACGAACAATGTACCATCGATGGTTTTCAATAACTTACCAATTTACTCGATTTCACAACACATTTCTTTAAATGTCTGTGAACGGTGAAAATCCGACCTTTGACCTGACCTGTGACGTCATCGGTTTGACCTAGGTCAATGAAATTTGGTCACAAGGTAGTTTTTGGATGGGGCTATCGAACGCCATTTGAATTTTGAAAATCGGCCGGTAAATTTCCGAGATCTTAGGGGGGGGGCCGAAACGCCCCCCCTACGGGTGGTAGGATCCGCCGATAGCCCTACGGGGCGCGGGTTAACCCTATTCCTGGCGGGGGGGGGGGGCCTCAGGAGCCCCCCCCCCTGAGGTTTTTTGGTTATTTCTCCCAAACGCGTTGAGCTAGGAAGCTCAAATTTTCTGACTTTTCCTAAAAGGCTTCTACGCAACATGTCTGAAAATTTTGAGTTGATCTGACCTCAGGTCAGGTCACCAGAGGCGGTTTGGTGACCCTACCTCAGAAAAGTTTGCAATCACGCCAGAGCTAGAGTTTTTGACCGATCAATTTCTTCTCTTCAGGCTTTAGTTAGGGTACCAGTATGTGCAATTTGTATATCTCGGAATTTTGATATCGGTGACCTAAGGTCAGGTCAGTTTCGCGACCTCCCCATTATAAGTCAATGGGAGAAAAATCAACTCCCTGTTTTTACCACTAAAACGGGTCGGAATGGCCCCATATACCATACATGACTTCATATACGATCAACCTTCACTACCTTGAGGTCTGTTTTGCTGTTGGGCAGCTGCGAGGTCATGTGCCGTCATCAAAGGTCACCAAAGTTTTTGGCCAATAACTCCGTACAGGAACAAGATACAGACGCGTGGATGGTCTCATTGTGTTCAGCTCGTCAAGACGCATCGAATGATATACATGATGACCTCGAGGTCACGTGACCTGAGGTCAACCTTTGACCTTGACCTTGCGAGGTCAACATATATATCATTCGATGCGGATTGACGAGAGGATCACGATGATGCCCTTAGTTTGTTCCTATCTTGACTAATTCGAAAGTTATTCGAGAAAAACTCTCTCCATATCTAGCGCCGCCATTTTGACTTTTTCGACCCCTGTGACGTCATCTTTGACCTGACCTGAAAATGACCTTTGTAAAAATTGTAGATCTTGACCGTGCGTATCCGATGCCGTTTACCGTTTGTCGCTATCTTGCTTCGTTCTCGAGATCTCAGGGGGGGGCCGAATCGGCCCCCCCCCGCCAGTTTCTTGTCCCGGCGGAGCCCGCCAGGAATAGGGTTAAGCCTACTGCCTATCTTGATCAGGAGCCAAACGCCGGGGAGGGGCAAAACACCAGTAGGTACAGGTCTCGCGGGTTTTAGCGGTAGGTTTTGCACCTAGAAAATTTAGTGTACTTCAGGCTATATCTTCGTCGTCTTAAGCTTTTAGGTGTTGAAGATGCGATCGACTTGTTGGGTAACAAGCCGGCCATGATCGTGTAAAATGGCTTCATCGTAGATCGATTAGTTTCTGAGATATAACCGGAAATGTAAAAGTGCAAAACCTACCGCTTAACACGGGCACTGCAGGGGGGTTGTTGTTTTCAACCCCCCCCCCCCCCCCGTGGTTTTTCGCAAATCGCGAGAAAACGGCGGCGCGTAGCGCCGCCAAATTTTGCATACCTGTTCTCCCAGCTTTTGCACACCTTGAGTAAAAATTTTGACCCCAGGTGACCTATGGTCAGGTCACCAGGTCAGGTCAAGTGACCCTACCTCGAAACGTAAATTTCGAAGTTTGCAATCCCACCAAGCCTACAGCTGTTGAGATATGATCGTGAAACCCACAGGAAATAGTAAAGTCATCACGAGCTACAACTTGTATATCTCGGAATTTTTATATCGATGACCTAAGGTCAGGTCATTTTTGCGACCGGCCCATTATAAGTCAATGGGAGAAATTTCAACTTACTCTGAATGCCATCCTATGACTTCAATACGCTCAGGATCATAGTATTACAGGTCCCTGTTGGTGATTTCACCGAAACATATCACTTATGACCTTTGGAAGGTGATCTCCAGGTCATCTTAGGTCACCTGAGGTCACCAGCGGTTTTTCTTCAATAACTTGAGATTGAATAGAGATAGAGACTCCGTTCGACGTTTATCGTGTTTTTCTCGTCAATGCAGATCGAATGATATGCAACATGACCTATTTCGGTCAGGTCATGACCTTGACCTGAGGTCAAATTTTCAACTTGACCTTTCGAGGTTATATTATATATCATTCGATGCGCCTTGACGAGCCAAGAACGATGGCGTTCGAATCGATCCTCTGTCTTGTGTGCAAGACAAGTTATTCAAGAAAAACTACCGCGAAATTCCTGTTGTGAAAATCGTAACATTTTGTCTTCGGTGACCTCTGGTGACCTCGTTTTTGACCTGACCCAAAAATGATCTTAGTATTTCTTGTAGATCTCATCTCAACCTATCCAACGCCGTTTACCGCTTGTCGCTACGTTGCGCCGTTTTCGAGATCTCAGGGGGGTTGTTTTCAACCCCCCCCCCCCCTGCAGTTCGTGTTCGGCTCAGACCCGCTGCAGTGCGCGTGTTAACCCGCGCCCGGCTGGGGGTCCTGGATTTCCACGCCCTGCTGGGGGGGGGGGGTGTTTGAACACCCCCCCTTGTAACTCGGCTCCTGGGCCACGTAGCGATACGCGGAAGGCGGCGTTAGAAAGAGCGTCAAAAATAATGACGAAATCACTTCGGTCAATTTTTTGGTCAGGTCAAAGGTCAGGTCACCAGAGGTCATTGAAGGCAAAATTTCGCCGATTTCCAGGTCGAATGTCGAAAATTTCCAAGAAGCCAACGCATAACTCGGAAACCAATAGAGCTACAGCGCCGCGGAAAAGCGCATTCGATAGCCCTATTAACGCCCTTTCTGAATAATTCTCTCAGATTTGACCTAACGTCAACGGTTTTGCCTGCAGGGGGCAAAAACTGCAAAAATAGCCGATTTTTTCGGAAACAGTTTTTCTGCAATAACTTTTGACCCAATCCCTGTACGAGCTTATTTTTACCGGCATCGTGTTCCTCTCGTCAAGACGCATCGAATGAACTATAACTTGACCTTGAAAGGTCAACTTGAAAATTTGACCTCAGGTCAAGGTCATGACCTGACCGGAAAGGGTCATGCTGCATATCAGTCGATCCGTATCGTCGATCTGAACACATCTAAGGCGTTTTCATCGCTCTAGCATGCCTCTATCAATAGTTATTTGCGAAAAACTGTTAGATACCATTCGTGACCTAAGATGACCTCAGGGCATAAACAAGGGTCACGGACACCATTTTCATGTTCAGTGTGTCTAAACCACTTGTAATTCGGTGTTTGGGAGTGTTTATAATGTCTTTCGTCCAAAAGAGGCGCATTTCAATTTTCTCCCATTGACTTATAATGGGGAGGTCGCAAAATTGACCTGACCTTAGGTCACCGATATCAAAATTCCGAGATATACATTTTGTACATGCTATTGCTCTTAGCAATCGCTGAAAGTTTCAAAGCGATCGGTCACTCGATGTAGCTATGACAGACATTGAAACTTTTTATGAGGTGAGGTCACTTCAAGTGACCTGGTGACCTGACCTTGAATGACCTTGGTCTGAAATTTTCACAACATGTGTAGAATTGATGTATGATAAGGTGTACCAAAAACGGCGGCGCTCCGCGCCGCCGTTTTTGAGATATTCGCGAAAAACCACAAGGGGGGGTGTTCAAACACCCCCCCTTGAACACCCCCCCCCCCCCAGCAGGGCGCGGGTTAATCTCGCGAGACCTGTACGTGCGAGAATTGAGCTGAGCACCTTGGCATTATTGGCAATCGAGGAATTTTACTTCTGATTACCCTATAAACATGCATCGACTGAGGTCACTTATTTTTCAAAAAAAATATTTATCAAAAGATTTTGATAAATAAAGCTATCTTAGTTCTTACCGAGTTCAGTCAGCTTCTCATAGTTGGATTTCATGTTGCAGTACGCCTGCTTCTCAATATCGCTGAGCGCTTCCCACGCGTCGTGGGTAAAATACTGTCGGATTAGACCAAATCGATCGCTTTCCATTTTGAAATAAAAGGCCGTAATTATTATGCGAAATAGATATTTAAATTCAATTTTTAAACAATAGGAACCGCACCCCCCATCGCGCAATATACGCGAACACACTTGTTTATTTCCGCCTTCTGCTTGAAACCGTAAGATGAGTCATGACTTTAATCAATTGTTATTTTCATAAAACATGTCTCTCATTTTAAATTTTTGAATTAAAAAAATTGCTTATTTTTTAGAATACGATTTGTATGTATCTTGCTAGTTTTCATAGCAAAACACGAAGTACTTGTAAATGATGACATATGAATCTCGACTATTATGACGCGGCTTTGCTGCATTACCACGTGTGAGTGTAGTCAGTCGTCGCGCGTGAGTGGTGTTTTTATTGTTTTTTGGTGGTCATGGTGGTTATTTCATTGCAATTTCTTTGAAGGGTATCTCCTGTATCTGTTTCATTTTGAGTGCAGGGCCTTTGCAGGCCTTCCGTAATCCGTTGTTACCGAGTACCAGTACAAGTACAGAATGGACGCCGAACCAACGCAGAAAACGAGGGATCTTGATTTGGATTTAAAGATGGATCAGCAACAGCATGGTGAGTTGTTTCATCCAAGCTCTATCGTCCTGGGGAACATTTAAAGATGAGCCATTGTTGTTGCGAGCCGGATTCATTTTCATCCAGCAACGCCAGTATTTGTGTATCAGCTGGGGAAACTACGAGGCGCCAAAATAAAATATGATCAGCCAATCAATCACTTGAGTGGGCTGGCCAATGACCATATATGGTCATAAAATCAAAAAACTTGGTCAAATCCCTCTTTGGTCAATCTCCCTCTTTCAAAACTTGGCTCAATCCCGCCACTACGCCGGACATATTCGGCATAACGTGTATATTTTCCAGTCTGGCCTACAACCTACCAACCTACAACCTGCCAACCTACAACCTACAACCTGCCAACCTCCAACCTACCAACCTACAACCTACCAACCTACAACCTACCAACCTACCCTGCAACCTACCAACCTACATCCTACCAACCTACAACCTACAAACCTACCCTACAACCTAACCCTTTTTATAAATTTAGTCCGAATGGTAAAATGGGCGGATTTAACCCGCGAGTTGCTGGGGGGGGGGGGCGTTAAACGCCCCCACTTTTTTCGCTGGGCCATAGCATAAAAACGGCGCGCCAAATTTTGGGTACCTGTAGGGAATTGATTGAAGTTTATTGTGACAAAGTTTCAAAAAAATCGGTCCGAAAAATTTTGAGATCAGTTGGGGAAACTACGAGGAGCCAAACAAAAATTGGATTAGCCAATCAGCGGCTGGAGTGGGCGGGGCGATGACCATATATGGTCATAAAATCAGACAACTTCATCTTTTCAATGAATTTTAGCATTCAAATGAAAAAATAAGGCATAAGAATGTTTTTTAACCACACAAAACCTACACTCACCCGGTGCATAATTATCTGGCGGCTCTAAATCGCAGAGTTACAACGCAAGGTCAAACCGTGATTGGCAAATATGGCGGATTGAAACAGACGCGCCAAAAAATGTAAGCAGTACCGTGGTTTTAAAATGTCATTATTTTTATTATTTTGTTTATGGTTTTTCTAATTGTAGTTAAGTTATTATTTAAGAATTAAATATTTATGTTTATTGTAATTAAAATAAATCTTTTAACAATTTTCTTTCATAAAACCAATCCATTTATTGAATGGCCAGCTGATTGTGACGCCCAGAACCTGCAGAAAAGCCGTTTTCCCATCGCCATTTTCGAGTCAATTCGCCGAATTTTATCTAATCACACTAATTCCTAGTGAAAAATGGAAGCCTTTTCTCTCCAATAAGTGGACGCGATACCGCAAGTACCGGCTTGTTATACCGTTTTTCACCCTTAGTAGCGGGGGCTGCATTTATGCCCATATATGGTCATCAAAAGTCCATTTATTGACCAATCCATTTTTTGACATTCGCCTCGTAGTTTCCCCAACTGAGATATCGAGGTTTTAGTGACGTCATGATTTCTGAGTTTTCGACCAAAAACGGCATATGTTCAAAAAATCATATAAAATCACAGAAAAGACATACAGACATGCAGTAAACGCCATTAGACTGCCAATACCATGAACAATCAAATGGCTATCTTCGATTATTGATTATCGTTCCGCATTTTCCAAAATCTTGAACTGAATCTTGGCAATTTCTCGTGACTACTTCACGACCATGATACATGCATTTCTTAAATTGAACTTTTTGAGCCAAACACGTACACATATGATAAAATGAATGTCACCATCGTGTTCTACGCCCCAAATTACCCATAAAACATGTGCCACGGGCTGCGAATATCAGTTTTGATTTTCGGGGATATGTGCCTATCCGGTTGACCTGACCTTGACCCTGACCTATGCTTGACTGACCCCTACATGGAGCTGACACTCTTGTAGGCCTTATATGATGGATTGTGCACCGTTTTGACTTTTGACAGAGTTTATGACTAGAGGCGCCCATTGCGAAGTCCTGAAGTCCATTCTACTGAAAGCCTGATTTCCGGTGTATGACCTGACCTTGACCTGACCTGTGACCTCAAAATTCAACTTTAAAATGCTCATCTGAAGCGTCTCGTCGCGTTCTTTCGTTTGCCGCCTCGTGCGTTTCGCTGCGCCTATTGGTTCTCGAGTTATCGGCTGGGGGCGTTTAACGCCCCCCCCCCCCCCCAGCAAACGGTGGGTGGCGAAATACCCCAGCAACTGCCGGGTTAAGGAGTCAGAGCCTGCACTAAGCATGGCTGTTGTGCTGACCCTGACCCTACCACCCGATCGCGCAATGCCAGTTGTATGGCAGAATTTTGTCCAAACGTTTAACTGCCCTCACGACTGGACATGGCCCCCTACGCTCACTCACGTTACCTGGCTTCTATGCGGCCCCTGCCACACCACATAACTTTACCTGACTCAACGACTGGTTCGGTGTAACTTATAAATATTTTGTGTAAAAAGTATCATAAGTATCTATGCGTGATCTCACTTTTCTACCTTAGAAGGATGTGTTCTTTCTAGTGATGTCAATTACGGAAAATCGGAATACCGATACCAAACCAAATACCAACCAAAACCATGGAGAAATACCGAAACCAAACCAACTTGGGATCATGAGGAAAATACCGACCTTTTACCGATTTCTTAGCCTCTTAAACATTAGCGAGGGCTCATGATACCAACAAAATACCAAACACATTAGGATTGAAATACCAAATACCGAGTTGGTATCGGTTTGGTATCGGTATACCAAAAAGTTGGTATCCGATTGACATCTCTGGTTCTTTCTTTCATGATTTTGTTTTGTGATTTTTTCCAGTTTTAAAAGAGTGCAAAAGAGGGAAATAGCAAGGCATGGATCTCAAATTTGGATGTGGATAGAAGGCGGTAGGGACTATTACATATATTCCTTTTTTAATTAGAAAAAAACTGTGAATTTTTGCCTACTTTATTCAAAAAATTATTTTTTGATTTTTAGGGGCCAAAACTCAAAAATTTCAGAAATCCGAGACAGCAGTTTTGTAGCCCTGTTCTACTTCTTTTATATGTTTAATCTTTTTTCTGTACCTATCTCTAAAGCCTAGGCTCTTCCCGCGAAACCTTTTTTGGGTCGAAAATGGTAGAAATGACATAAATCCGACGTCATTAGCCGCCGACCTATCATTGGAGAACTGTTTGGTCACAATGTGTAATAGCTACTCCCGGGAGGGTACTGAAAGTTTGGTGACGATCGGCGGAGCGGTTCTGGAGCTATATCGGAAAAAGCTAAGGGGGGGGGGGGGGGGCAAAAGCTCATCAACGTCCCAAAACTACATTTTTGCTCAGGTGTCAGAGGAGAAATTGCAGACCAAAAATGGGATGAGTGAAAAAAATTGTTGGCCAGGCTAGGCCCTAAAAGAGTGGGAAAGAATAAAAAGCATGACTTTATCTGCAATTTTTGCAGATAGTAGAATGCAAAACACATAACCACTTAACCTAAAAATATTTGACTTACCATTGCCTGTAATCTCTCCCAAGGCATGCACATACACATTCACTAACCCCGCGTTCGATGTCTCTCGGACGACGAAGATTCAAAGTCGTCCGGCCAATCCCGTTCAAATTCAGCGGGGGCTCGGCTGCGGTTATGGAACGTGATTGGCCGGACGACGTAGAATCTTCGTCGTCCGAGAGACATCGAACGCGGGGTAAATCATAAGTTGTTATAGAGCAAATGTCTCAACAAAATCCGTTCATTTGGCTGTTCGCCTTCTGCAAGCCAAGCCACAGACCTGAGATCAAATCTGAGGCGAAGTTGGCGAAAGGTCTTTGAAAGAGCTGCTTATTGAGAGCTGTCTATTGAATACGTTTATTAGTATTTTCCCAGTTGCTAACATGTTTAGGTATACTGAAGTAACACTAAGAATGCTTTCGGCTCCTGATCGAGCTAGAGCTTCGCTGAAAAAAAGAACGAGAATGCCAAGACGAGAGAAAGCCGATGATAGGTACCCAATGTCAAGGGCTTCGAACATCCCACGTCAACTCCCAAGTAGGGAACATCTGGACCTGCTAGAACTGTGTGAATGAAAGTTGTTATTGGGGTAACGAGGTCCAGATTACAAATGCTATACTAGTATTAAACGAAGACGATGGCTATGCATTTGGGGCAGATCAGGTCAGGTCATGTAGACCAGTGGTAGGCTTTCTGCCAACAGGGTTAAAACCAGTGGCTATCAACACTGGGCGTGTGAGTACCCTACTATATTTGCCTTGTGACAATCTGCTTTTTGGTACATTGTTGTTGACATACTGTATCATTGACATTGATGATATTACGTGTCATTAATACTATGTATAAGGAACTGCTTAATTACTGTCTTGCTACCTATCTACTTGGCTTATTGTGATTCGGTATAGTTATATTCGACGTGAACTGACAAGTGTCTTTGGACCCCTATTCCACCAGTGTCTGAACTACTGCCGCTCATGCGGGCTGCGTCAACGTCACCAGGAGAACCAAAGTGGTCTCGGAAGGGCTCTCCGGACAGCGACGAGGAATGGGGCCCGTCACAGTGTGTGAGGAAGTCCCAGAGGCTGAGGGACTCTACTCCCATAGACAGTGGCTCTGAGAGCGACTTTCGGCCAGTTGTGAAGGAGGAGATAAAGATTGAAGTTACTTCACCAAGGGTAAGCGAACAAATGCTTGGTGCTCATTTCTATTATTGTTTTTTTTTTCTACCAAGTTGTTATGCACCAGACATGTGCACGGATCCCAGACAACCAATCACGGAAATCGAGATGGCCATTAGATTGACGGTCTTCAAGCAAGAAATTATGGTGGAAAACATGGCTCATAGAAGCCTCTCAATGAACCAACTATTTTGCATTCCTTCAGGGTTAACAGTTCTGAGAAAATCCCTCAAGATCCATCTCGGATCCATGATTCGTGGCCATGGATCCGAGATGGATCTTGAGGGATTTTCTCAAAACTGTGAACTCTGAGGGAATGCAAAATAGTCGGTTCGTTGAGAGGCATCTATTAGCCATGTTTTCCACCATAATTCCATGCTTAACGTCCACTAATCTAGTGGCCATCTTGATTTTCGTGTTTGGTCGTCTGGGATCCGTGCCCATGTCTGTTATGCACATTTAAGGTGTGTCCCAATTCAGACTGAAGTGGGTAACATGTTTTGTTTAACATTTCCGATTTTTTTTTTTTATCTGCTCTAGGTTGAGCGGCCGTCGTCTCCCTCGGTGTCCGACGACGATCCTTTCTCGGACCGCGCTCTGCATTCTTTAGTGAAGGAGGAAAAGTACCGACCTCGATCACCGTCACCGTCTGAGGACTTCATCGGGTTCACTGAGGTGGACCGGGACAGGTGAGCGCACGACTCAAGGGAAGACCGGGTTCAATTGTAGCTTTTTTTTGCATTTTATCATGTGGTGTAAAAACGTTTGCAGTTATAAAGTTCTTTCTTTTATTTTCATAAACTATGATGTTTTTTCTTATAAATGCAGTTTAAACATTTCCGAAATACATCTTTTTGGGTCAAAATTGTGGTCCCAAAAAGTCAGTTCAGCTGTTACAATTCACCCCAGATACGGGGTCAAAAGTAACACCACCCGGGGACAATTTTACCATGTTAACTAACAGGTTACAGCAACACAATTTTTTCCAAAACTTTGGTTTAACAAACGTGTTGAACACTTGTCCATCTTCCCAGACATGGTACAGGAACGGTTCTTCTCAGGAAAAAAGGCTTAAAACCTTGCACTTATACGGGGGTCGGATGGACCTGTTCTCCCTCGGCTTTTCGCAAATAAATCGAGTAAAAAGCTGCCGATTGCCACAAAACTTACAGTTCTCTTAATTCTAGCAATGTTTCATCTACGAGTGGCAGAAGACGTATGTACCTTGAAAATTTGATGGCCTTGACCTAATGGCCTGTGACCTATAACCTGTTACATTTAACCCCTGCAAGAATGTTACAATTGTCCCCGTCGCGCCGTGACATATTTTAGACGAAACTGGCGCAAAAAGATGAAGCGTGGTCAGCATCTAATGCTTGCTTTCAATTTATGGACTACAAGCCTGCCAACGCTTTCACAAAGTCTGAACTCGATGTATTATCAATTGTGGGAATGAACTAATCAAATATAACGGTATAAAAATTTACAAAATTCTATCAAAAACACAATACTGTGCACACTTGCACAGCCATCGACATACCCGGCACTTTCGTTTCAAACTCCGTTGAGAAAGGCAGTATAGAATTACGCATTTTCGGTACATATACTATTATACATATATCATATCATTTCTCGAGGCCATGTTTGGCCGGAATCGCGATTCGGCGTATGTTGGCTCGCATTAGCCGCGCGTGTGCAAGCTTTTCGTTGTTTCAAACGTTCAACATGTGATTCGATGTTGCTCCCGTGCATTAGGGTGGATGTCAAGGTCACCTGAAGGTCAGGTCAGGTCATTGGCCTTTGGTGACCTCGATTCACTTTTTCGAGTTTTTCATGTTTCTAGGCTAGTTATTTTAGTTTAATTCGAATTTAGAAACCATTTGAACATTTACGAAGTAGTTTTGGTGCCTTCGTAACATGTTACGAAGCTGTCAGAGGCGTTTGACACTTACTACGAATACCCATCACGACCCCTACTGGTTGACCTGACCTGACCTGACCTGGTCTAAATGCTTAAGGATATCATCTGTGATCAAAACTAACACGATATTCGTGATCATCACCCCGAAAAACCCCATAGCAGCCACACTTTGACTTTCTAACAGGTCCCGATTTTCCCGACTTTTGGGTCATTGACCTGACTTGGAAGGTCAACCAATGACCTAGGACCTTAAAATTGGGCATCATTGGCTTCCTCTCGTCACGGGCAACACGCTCGTTTTTTTCCGCGAAGCTCTAGCTCGATCAGGGGCCAAACGGCAAGGGGGAAGGAGTCCAACCGACCCCCCCCCCCCCCTACACGTTAGGAGCTGGCAAACGCCGCACACATGCGAGGGTTAAATAATTATGTGCTATTAATTACTAATTCTATATTGACTGCATAGTGCATATACGTTATACATTCATCAATTATGACATATCTATTGACCTACGCAGGACGTCAAAGCCCGTTCCGCGGGGCTCTGAGCTGCTGGTGTACTACGGAGACGACTCGGCCCGGGAACTGACCGTCCACTCGGAGACATCTGGGGAGTCTGTGACTTCCTCTCCGGCCGGACCTTCATCTTCAGGTCAGTTCATCGTTTGCGGCTCCGAGGGCTATGGGCAGGGCTGAGGAGTCGGAGTCGGAGTCGATAGGAGTCGGCAGGTTTGCCTGTAGTCGGAGTTAAGTCGCTTAAATCTTACCGATTTCGACTCCGTAGTCGGAGTTAACACTGCATGGCACTAGGTCATGTCTTACACCTGGTTAATTGACGATATTTCGCTCGTTGTCCTTTGAAAATCATATTTTGTTGAAACTAAGGACATATCCCTGTTTTAAAGGTAGTGTGCCACCTTTGAAAGATTTCCCATTTTATTTTTCCTAGGATAAGAAGCTTCTGTTTTTACCTAATATCGCAAAAAAAATCAAAAATGGGCCTGGAATAGTGCCTTTTTCGCCTAAAAGTTTTTCGGTTTTAAGATATGTATAACAACTGTAGTGGGCTCACCTGCAAACAGGCGTCGGGCAACAATCGCGAATGCGGCGCACTTGTGACAATAAGCAAAGGTCATTATAATTATAGTGTTACGACCATACGACGTACGGGAATGAGTTATCAGCTGTCTAATCGTAGACAACACAATGTCTAGCCTTAAACTGTAAGCCCGTATTGTATTGTTTCTTTTATTTGGCTGTCGAACATTATTTATGGTTTGAAATATGATTTTATGTAAAATAATTGATATGAAAAAGCCGTCTTATAAGTTATGACCCCATTTCACCACACGCAAGTGGCAGAAATGACAATGATCAGCTGACGCATTTTTCTTGGCCGAAGTCAGAGCGCGCGGCCCGACGCACCACGCGTATTTGGAAATTCCGACCTCGACGAGCATCAGAAGCCACCTAACAGGCGTGTTCGAAACCGCAGGAGATGATGATGAACGGGTTTATCGAAACTTGATTGGATGAGCATATCGGTAATAGCGATTTCAGTGTGTGCATTTATTGTTCATAGTGGTGTGAAATGTGGTTGGGGTACGACCGACAACCCGTCGGGGCGAATTTCGCACTGGGGTACTCAAAATTTGAAGAATTTAAGACGTTTCCATGAGTTTTGAAGGTAGGGCTAAGTTCTAAAAATCCGGTTCTCCTTATCTGGGCCATTAACTCCATACGGTCCAAGAAAGCTGGCACACTACCTTTAAACGAGCGTTTTCAGTTAAAAAGCTTTAGACGGCTGCTGCGTCAAAATCTGTTTTTATTTCTGCATGATATTTAAAAAGTACTTGCTTGCAATACAAGGCATTGGAGCGCCCAAAGGGTCGTAGTTCAGCCAAGGTAAAAAAAAAATCAGGCATATTGGGTGCTGAGACTAATGTTATAAATACCGTGGACTGAAATGGATATGGCGTCACTGGCTAAAGGTAAGGTGCAGAGAACGGCTATTAAATGCAAAACGGTTCTCTTGCATTTCAGTCCATCGTATCTTGACGGTCCCAGCGGCCGATTTCATAAACTTCGGTAGTGTGTCTGTTTACCATCCATGTGAATTATACGCCCTAAGAAATTACACCCTCTATAGATGTGGGTGGCTTTACTGGAATGGGGTGGCGTATTATTATCCATCAGTGGTGTGCTTTCGATTGTTTTGGACTATATTTTACCACATCCACTGCTGGTATTACTATAAATATTACCTAATGCTATGTATAGAAAGCACCCCTTTTATAAGATTGGGCCAATGAAGGTAAGTCTCTCGAGCTCGGCTTTACCGCTCAGCCGCTACGGGCCGAGGAAATCGGTCCTCGCCTGAGGGCAGGACGGAGGTCAGGGAGGGAGCGCGGGGTCAGCCGGGTATCGCCTGGTGCCGAGCGGGTGCCCCTCCCTCCCCCTCCTTCCCCTCTCCGACCCTCTCCGACCCTCCCTACCTCGGTGGCGGATTCCGCCAAGTTACCGATTCGCCTACGGTGGGAGGGCCAAAGCAGGGGACGTACTGTTTAGATATACAGTACACGCCACACGGGCTTTTGTCCCCGTTACCGCGCCGGCAGGGCTCTGGTCTGGACGTCGTTTGAGACTCGTTTGTTTGAACTTGGACGACAAAACCAGTGGACCCTGATCATTCACGGGGCCGTTGGGCAAGGCAGCCGGCGGCTCTGTGCACCGTCTTTCTCCCGTGAAGTTCCGACCGGTGAGCGGCCCAGAGCTGGATCTGCCGGACAACATTATCGCCGACCTCAGCAGCGACCAACTCCTGCTGTATCAGCACACCAGAGCCGTGCGGACGGGCAACACCTCCTCAAAGGAGGCCTGGAAGAAAATCGGTCCCCTGAGCCAGTAACGGCGGAACACCTTCAATAAGGGGGGGGGGGCACTGCCGACTTTTTGTCCCATTCTTCCCATGCAGCGCCCAGTAGCGGCGGAACACCTTCAATTAAGGGGGGGTGGGCACTGCCGACTTTTGGTCCCATTCTTTCCATGCAGCGCCCATAGGGCTAATGTTCAAATGCCAAAATCAAAGAGGGGGGGGGGGCTCGGTGCTCCGGTGCCCTTCCCTTTCCGCCGCCTATGCAAGACTGCACGGCATCCAAATTACCCCGGTATATGGGCCATTTGGCCGGGCGGAGAGATAGGTAACCATTACAGAGCTGAGACAACCTGAAAGATTGACGCCCAAGATTGTGCTTAACCCTAGAACGCCTAGGGGGGGGGGGGGTTGTATCAACCCCCACCCCCCTGAGGTTTTTTCGAAGTGCACGCTAAACGGCTTGTCGTAGCGGGCTGAAATTTTCAATACCCTCTGGGGCAACCTTTGCGCATCTTTTGCCGAAAAAAAATTGATCGGGTCATGTCAGGTCACGGAGTTATGACGTCATAAGAGGTACAGCCTCCGGCCGACAGTTACCAAACGTGTGCGCCGAGTCCCTAGGTTTTCTGCCGGTGATACCCACATTGTTTGATGGATCATGATGAAACTTCCCATGCATGTTGGGGCAAGCATTGGCTATCGTGTGGTGCAAGAAAATTGACCGGGTCAGGTCAGGTCACGGAGCTATGACGTCACAAGAGGAACAGCGTCCGGTACTACTTTTGAAAAGCGCCCGAACCACTATTTTGCTAATTCTTGTCACCTCAATGGGAATATGCAGCAATATTAGCTTCTATAGGGAGCAAATGAACCTCCCAAATCCAAAAATACAATCAGATTTCAAAAATTTAAATTTTGATTTTTCGAATTTCTGCCGCCGACTGTGACCTTGCCGACTTCCGGCGCTCCCAACGCGCCATTTTTAGAGCTAGGGAAACGAAATACATACCAAACGATAGAGAATTGATCAAGGAATACGATAGTGAAGGTTTCAAGTCGATATCTCCCACCGTTTTGCCGCAATCGCCGCGGAAAGTTGAAAAAGTTTGATTTTTTCGGAAAATTTGACCTTTGACCGGTCATAAGTAGGTCAAATGTTGACCTAGGACCAAAAAATATACCACCAATCGCGAGATCTCGTTGAGAGCAATCCGTTGGTTTTTTCTGCTAAGCTCTACGACCTTCCGTTTCGAAACGCCAGGGGGGGGGTCGTAACACCCCCCCCCCCCCCTGGTCGTTCGTGTTATGAGAAATGGCCTGGTCGTGCGAGGGTTAACTCATGAATTCTGGATTGACTCGACTCATGACTGGTGTGACGATCCAGATGCCCCAATGCTGACTCAAATGATCAGCATCGTGACTCGTCTTGGATTCGCCTGAAATCCTTAATTTTTCAACAGACTAGGCTTAAACTCGATTCATTTGAATGGCAGTGCAAGTGAGGAGCCACACTTAATTTTCGAGCTTACGAATCATGAGTTAAGCGCTGCCCAGTGGTAACAACAGCCAACCGTAATGGCCGCCAAACGTAGATTGCTTTAGACGACAATCGCACTGCAAAAAGAACGAGTTGGTTGTTAATTTCAAACTCTGTCGTGAACATAAACCAGTATAACGCCTTTTGGGGCGACTAACGGAGCGGGCGAGAGGGTGGGCCTTGCACGTGCGAAATTTCGAGGGGGTACCTCCAACTGACTTGTGCAAGGCACCCTATTAACCGGCCTCTAGCGATGTGCCAAATTTGAGCATAATCGGCCCAGCCGTTCTCGAGATCTGAAAGCGGCACCCTGCACGTGCGCACGTGCAAAATGGGTCCCAACTGACTTGTGCACGGCACCCTACTAACTGGCAGGGCTGCGGAGTCGGAGTCGGAGTCGGAGTCGGTCGGAGTCGATAGTTGTGACCGGAGTCGGAGTCGGAGTCGATTTTAGAAACCCGAGCCGGAGTCGAAGTCACCGAAAATCTGTCGACTCCGCAGCCCTGCTAGGTCTGCGGAGTCGGAGTCGGAGTCGGAGTCGGAGCTGGTTTTTGAAAGTCGGAGTCGGAGTCGGAGTCGCCGAAAATCCATCGACTCCGCAGCCCTGCTAACCAGGGGTAGCCAGTAACAGTTGGTAGCATTAGGCCAAATGGGCGCTCAAAAACTACTACCCCATAGGGTTTCCATGTTAAATCGACCTTTTTTCAAGCGAGCCTCACACGGTAGCTAAAAGATAAAGTGCCGATATTATTGTGGGGAAAGGTAGGCTCAAGCCTCCTCTACAACCTTTTTATCTAGCGTTTTTCGATGCGGAGGCCATAACAGGTCCAAAAAGCATTGGGCGCTGCCCGAGGTACCAAAAGCCCCTCCGTGAGAGCGGAAGTTCCTGCGCATGCGCACATTGCCTCAACCCTGTACTGGCGTACATGAGTGATCCTGCTCACGGACTCGGTCAGCCAATCAGCGTCCCAGATTACATTGATAGATGTCGCTAGCATCACGTAATTCCTGCTTGCGAACACATTTTAAGAATGAAACAGGTGCGCCATTTCCGCCTTCCATTGATTCCTTCCATCTTAGTATCAACTATACGCTTTTCAACTAACTTTAGACTAAGTTTTAAACTATGGTCAGTATGTTATTTCTGGTACATATAATTTAAAAATAACTGTTTTATGGATTTGGCTTTACCCGTCAGAATCGAATACTCTATTTTTTCCATATACAAAAAATATATCAC